ATGTATGTATGTGTGTATGTATGAATTACGTATATATACATCTACATGTATACATGCATACACGTGTATATGTATATATGTACAAACATGTCTACATGCAGAAATATGTGTCTGGAAATGCATTTGTATAGGTATAGGTATGTGTGGGTGTGTCTATGTATATAGATAGAAAAATATATAGATAGGTAGGTAGATCGATAGATAGATAGGTAGGTAGATACTGATAGATAGATAGATAGATAGATAGATAGATAGATACATAGATACATAGATGGATGGATCGATGGATAGATAGATAGGTAGGCAGATAGGTAGGTAGATAGATAGGTAGATAGATGGATAGATAGATAGATAGATCGATGGACAAATAGATCCATAGATCGATAGATCGACAGATCCATAGATAGATACATAGATACATGGATAGATAGATAGATAGATAGATAGATAGATAGATAGATAGTTAGATAGATAGATAGATAGGTAAATAAATAGATGGGTAGATAGGTAGATAGGTAAATAGGTAGATAGATCGATAGGCCGAGAGATCGATAGATCGATAGATCGCTAGATCGACAGATAGATAGATAGATCGATAGATAGATAGTTCGATAGATCGATAGATAGATAGATAGATAGATAGATAGATAGATAGATAGATAGACAGCTACATAAATAGATATATGCGTCTAGGTATACGTGTGTATATATATATATGTATACAGATTGTAGATGCAGCAAAACAACGACCCGATAGATTCCGGGGCCCAAGCCCAGGGCGCCACGGAACCCCGAAAGAACACGGAGGGCTCGCTCTCCATGCCTGTTTTTTGAGGATTTGTTTTGGTGGTTTATAGTGTCTTATCAAGGGAAGTCTGCTCAAGATTGCGATTTGATTTACACCTTGGCCGGCAGCTTTAAACACTTAGCAGCCCCAGACAGGATTTGGGGTTCAGGGGGCCCTAAACCCTAAACCCCTAAACCCCTAAACCCCTAAACCCCTAAACCCCTAAACCCCTAAACCCCTAAACCCCTAAACCCCTAAACCCCTAAACCCTAAACCGAGCGCCAGACATGACGAGATTGCCGTGGAATGGCCGCCGTAGCCTGCAAGGTTGAAATTGCTCAGGCAGGCCCAAGAGGCCGAAGCAGCCAAGAAATCAAGGTTGTTGTTTAGGGTTTAGGGTTTAGGGTTTAGGGTTTAGGGGTTCAGGGTGTTTTGGGTTTAGGGGTTTAGGGTGTATAAGGTTTAGGACCGGATTCAGGGTGGTAGGGTGTTTTGGGTTTAGCGTGTACAGGGTTTAGGGTTTACGGGTTTCGTCTCCTGAAGCGTCACAGTTGGACAGATGCCTGCCACCCGGCCCAACACCGCTCTGCGCGTGATGAAGGCCGACTGCAACGCATCCGTAGCAGAGGACCTGTGGTTCGGGCGTCGTCATAAGTCTGGATGTAAGTCTAAGTGGCTTTTCAGCTTGAGGCAAGAGGCAAGGCAGCCGAACTTGGAGGCTGTACTGGAATTAGCGAAACCGAGTGCCGCTGCACAGCTTCAGAGCCTAAATCGCTTCCCCTCTCCCCATAGAAGCGAAAATGCCTCTGCGCGGGCTGCACACGGAGGAGCTTGGTAATGAGGTCGCGGGCATCCGGGTGGAGCTGAAGCCATCTGACAAGGGCTCAGCCCACTGCAAGGCTAGCTTAAAGTTTAAGGCCCTGCAGAAAGGCTCCTCGTGTTTTTAAGCTCCTCTGTTTACAAAAAAACTACCCGAGCCGGAAGCTGAAAGTCGCCGGGTGCCTCTCTGTGCGCCGGTTGTAGTTTCCCATGGCGACGAGTCGCAAGACTTCCTGGGAAAGATGCAAGGAAGGCAAGGCCTTTCTCTGTGTGTCTGTGTGTTGGTGTTGGTGTTGGTGTTGGTGTGTGTGTGTGTGACTATGCGCGACACACACACACACATATGTGTGTGTATATATATATATATATACACATGCGGCATACAGGCATGCATGCATGCAAAATTAACATGCGTACATACATCCATACATGCGTACGTACGTACATACGTACATATGTCCAGACACACAGAGATTTATCTGGATTGGCTCTGTACCTTTATGAATGAGCATATGCAGACATGCCACACTCTATCTACCTATGTCTATCTATCCATCTGTCTATCTATCTGTCTATCTACCTATCTATCTATCTATCTATCTATCTATCTATCTATGTATATATATATATATATATATATAGATATATAGATATATAGATATACATATATACATATATACATATATATATATATACATAATAAACACACACACACACATACACATGTACACGCTTGCACTTACACCTACGTGTCTCCTTCCCGGCCTGGTCTTGCAGCTCCTGCGAGGGCTGCTTCAGCGCCTGGTTGAAGGGATTGTGGCCCACAAGCAGCAGGTACAGCACCTCAGCTCGAGGGCTAAGTGTGTGTGTGTGTGTGTGTGCGTTCGGCTTCAATTCGGGTTTAGGGTTTAGGGTTTAGGGTTCAGAGCTCAGGGTTAAAGTTTAGGGGTATGTAGGCCTTAGGGAGGATTGGGAGCACAGCACATTCAGTGCTCAAGGGTCTCTGGGAGATTTGGTGTCGGGATGTTCTGCCGCGGATCAGTGCGGTGATCCTTGTTCAAACTACGTTGCGAAAGGCTTCGCCTGCTTGCCGGTGACTCAATTACTTTAGAGCACTGGTGGTTTGTTGTTGACATGCGGCGGGCTTCTGCTGCGGAGCTCTCCAAGCCGCTCTGCTTGAGGTTTAAAAGCCCTAAACCCTAAACCCTAAACCCCAAAACCCTAAACCCTAAACCCCAAAACCCTAAACCCTAAACAGTTTGGG